TCAGAAGGCCTTGTCTTACCAGGTCCTCCAAGTGTGCTTTCAAGGCTCTGCAACCTTGAGTTGGGTGCCCTTCTTCATTGTGGTAGGCACAACGTCTACCAACGTTCCTTCCCATGAATTCCCCTGGTGCTCTTGCCGGAGCCCTGAAATAAGGTTGGTTTCGAATTTGATCTAAGACTTTATGGATTGGGATCCGGAATACCGTCGTTACCCCCTGTTTATTTCTCAACTCTGTTTCTTGTTTGGTCGGCCCATTGTTGCCTCGGCTTCGCTTCGGCGAGCCGTTTCCCTTTTCTTGCTTTATCTCTTTGTTTACCGATGTATCTTCTTCGGCTCTGGCATACTTCTCGATTCTTGCCATAAGTTCTTCCATGCTTTTTGGCAATGTTTTTGCCAAAGACTTCCGTAGCGGGCAGTCATCTTTCAGGCTGTTCTTGAAAGACACGACCGCTACCTCTTGGTTGCATTCGGGTATTCGGTTGAACACCTCGTAGTACCTCTTCGCATAGGCCCTAAGGCCTTCTTCCTTGGTGATTCTTAGAGCCATCAAAGCATCAACCCTCAGGGGTTGCAGCTTGTTGGTCACAAACCTGGCCACAAACATCTCGGCCAGGCCTTCCCATGTCTTTATGCTTTCCTTTGGTAATTTATACAACCAATCAGATGCAATTTCCCCAAAGGATGAGGGGAATACTTTGCAGAGCAACGGCTCGTTCCCGCTATATAACGCCATTGAATTAAGGTATAGTCCAACATGAAAGTTTGGGTCTGACTTACCATCATAAATTTGAAACCTCGGCATACTGAATCTCTTTGGTGGTTCGAATTTGTCCAGTTCCACCGAGAAGGCTGTCTTCGGTTTTACTGGGGAGTTTACCTCGGCTTCAACATTCTGCTGTCTCCTTTTTAGGTAGTCCCTCAGGTCTTCTTTACTCCTCCCAGGAGCTCGGCTGTCTATGGATTTTAGTCTTTTTGGTACGCTGCTTTCGACCTCATGGTGGGCCCGTTTGGATCTTTCTCCATGGGTTGTGTCAAAGCAGAGTGCTTGTCTTTGAACATGCCGATGTTCTTTGGGCTCTGGATTCTTCATGTGGTGCGTCCTTCGGGACTCCTCTTGCCTCGGCTCTTCTCGTCCGACTTCCCTGGAAGGCCGGTGAGAATGCCTTCCGCTCCTGGTATGCTGAGGGACGTCGGGGATTGTTTTTCTTCCGCCCTTCTGGGCGTTGGTTGCTGGCATTGGTGTATCTTGCAGCGGGTATGGTGGCTGCATAACATTATTCTGCATCATGAAGTTGACGACTGACTGAAGGTCTGCCAACTTGTTCGCCAATTCTTTTACTTCCTCATCCCTCCGTAGGCATCTGTCCCTCCATACTTGGAGGTTATCTTCATTGTAGTACTTTCCTTGGTCTGTCCTTTTTGACATGTCGCCTTCCTGGATGACGTCTTTCTCTCTGTGACCCTGGTCACGGGCTTCTGTGTTGTGGTTGTCTCCTTCAATTCCAAGGTCAATTGGTCCACCACTCCCAGTGGGAGCGTCATCCCCAATATTTTCCTGCTGTCCGTTACTGGCCATCTATTCTTCCTTCTTTCCCACAGACGGCGCCAAATTGTGTGGGTGAAAATCTGACCACACTGCCTGCTTAGTGATCAACTGGAGAGCACAGGCAGAATAGATGGCTTCAGCAACCTGAAACAGAAAGAAAAGGCTCCGGCGGTGGTTCTTCCACCCGGGGGCACTCCGACGATCAAGTCAGTATATCTCTCAAAGATAATCAAGTGCAAAACTTAATACTCAAAACATAAATTGCATACCTTAGACCCACGGGGGTGCCTCTCTTTTATAATATACTCAATCCAAGTCCTACTAGAAGTATGACTTCTATGAACTCCAATTCAGTGTTTACTCTGGACTCTTTAAGAGATAAAGATAAACTCCCTTAAGAGTTTTATCTTGGTTAAGTCCCCTCTTTGTCTTAGGACTCTTGTCCCTTTTCTGCTTATCTCGGATTCCGATATCTTCGGGGATAACCTCGGCAACTCCGAGATCATCTCGGCTTAAACTATGACGACACGTGGCACCTCGGCGTCACCATGCCACGTGTTGGTATTCAGAAAATATATCCCCACACTCTCGCATTAGTGTCAAAGGTGGTAAAGAAATCTCTAGATTATCTTTATCCTAAAGGAGTAAGTATGGTATAAATATATATATGTGTGTCCAGTGGGGGAGCCAGGAATTTAATATAGGGGGCACCCATTAATTACAATCTCAAAATTTTTCTTTCCCAATCAATAACAATAACATAATAATAATTTTTCGAGTTAATGTTAGACATTAAAAATTAATATCTATTACAAAAAGTTTTAAATTTTAAACTTTTACAATTGACCCCGGCGAGTTTTCATCTTTTGAAATCTTTCCATAATAGTATCATTGTCAATGCCATCAAAAATATCTCTCAATGTAGACAACCAAGCTATCATTCATCCATTCATCACCCATTCGGTTCCGCAACTGATTTTTCACAATATTCATAGCTGAAAATATCATCTCAACAGTAGTAGTTGCAACATGTAAGATTAATGCTAAAGTCAAGAGCAAATACACCTATGGATATACTTTGTCTCTTCTAGTCTCTACCATTTTCTTAGCAAGATCGGCAATTCCATTCAACATCGAGAACTCACTACTGGATAGCATGTCGATAATATATGTATCAAGTTGATCATTAGGTACCATGAGCTCCACTGAAGAAAATTCTTTGGGATAAAATTCAGCAAGATGAATTAACTTTTTCTTATCAAAACTAGAGAAAGAGTTAGATGGATTCAAACATGCCACACAAAGTAACAAATCAATGTTTGACTCAGTGAAACGAGCATTTAGTTCTTGAACTTGCATATCCAAAACAGTGTAGAATAACTCAGCGCGATAGTGATGCAAGTTTGTAATTTCTTGAGCATTGCGCCTTTTTCTTCTTCGAGCTACAAACATATCTTTCATTTGAGGAACATCAATTTCATGCTTTTCACAAAAAGACAAAATATCATCAAGTAAAGATGTCCACCCACTCTCCCTCATCTTTTGAAGCCGTACTTTAGAAATTTAAACTAAATTCATAGCATTAACAATATCTTGATCTTTCCTTTGTAGTGTTTGCGATAACTCGCTTGTAATAGCCAATATCGTTTTCATCAAATGAAGGTTGAATACAAACTCAAATGATTGAATTGAGTCCAAAAATACATTTGCTTCTGTTCGTTGTTCTGAATTTGAACCATCCTCCGAAATCATTTCAAGCACATCAATCACTGTTGAAAACATACTAGCCAAGCTGACAAAAGTACCATAGTGTGAACCCCAACGTATATCACCAGCACGTTTAAGATTAGTTTCTTGATTTAAGCCTTGCCCACTAGATAACTTTCCAGTATTAAGTGCCTCAGCAACTTTTGTAGCTTGCTTCTCCCTAACAATATCTCAGCGTTTACATGATGCTCTAACAACATTCACCACATTAGAAACCAAAGTGAAAAGTAAAGCAATTTGATTATGATTCTTTGCCATGACTACAAGTGCCAATTGGAATTGATAAGCAAAACAATGAACATAATATGCACAAGGATTCTCTTTCAGTATGACCATTGAACTCACGTTGCATATTACTAGCCCCATCATATCCTTGACCCCGCAATCTGGAAATACTCAATCCTCGTCTGGAGAATAAATTTTCCATAGCTTGTTTAAATGACGAAGCATTTGTATTAGCAACATACTCAATACCCAAAAAGAGCTCAATCACTTGTCCTTTTTTGTCAACATATAGTATTACAACTGTCATTTGCTCCTTGATTGATATGTCAGGGGCTTCATCAATCAAAATAGAAAAAAGTGCATCACCAAGATCTCTAATAATCACATTGATAGTTTCAAATACGGCCACATTTACAATGTCTTTTTGAATATCAGGAGATGTCAACCTGAGATTTTGTGGAGCATTGCTCAATGTAACCACTTTGACATCTTCATTATGATCAACAAGAAGTTTGAGAAGTTCAAGAAAATTTCCTTGGTTACTTGAATTTTCAGATTCATCATGCCCACGAAACGCAAGTCCTTGTCTTAGAAGAAATTTAACACAATCAACTGATGAATTCAAATGGGTTCGATACTCAATTCGAGCTTGATCAGATTGTTTGAAAAAAATCGTTTCAATATATTGGTTTTGGTTTAACAAGTCTTGACATTTACTCAAAGTTTGATTATGAGCACTATTGGGACCTTCAACATAAGTCTGAATTTTTTCTTTTTCCTTCCAATTTGAAAAACCCTCACCAACAAAAGAATCACCACCAACTTGATCTCCAATATTAGGTTTGAAAAGATAACAACATAAACAAAATGCTGCATCTTTTGCTACACTATACTCCAACTAATTAGGAAATTCACTAAACCAAGCTTGATTAAATCGCCGAAGTTTTTGTCCAAATGATTTTTTGTGAAAAATTATGATCACGAGGTTGACAAAGACCTTTTTGTAGATATGCCCTATGAATTTGGTCTCAGTCATTAGCATTATAGTCCATAATCCGAGGCCGTAGTCCTGGATCTGCAGGAAGGTCTACTAAGTTGATTTCTATGCAACTTTGTTTTGCAGAAGAATAATTATCATCTTTTCTTGAGAAAGAGATGATTCCAACTTTTATTTTCTTTTGAAACATTTCTCCATGACTGTTTGGAAAAACTAAAAATCAAAATAAAAATTCATAATCAAAATCTCAAACCCCCCACAAATCAAAATATCTAATTTTAATACAAATTAAAAAATTTAAATTAGTACAAATCACAACAAATCAAAAATTTTAATCTTAGCACAAATTATAACAAATCAAAATTCATAATTTAAATATTAATCACTGCAAATTAATATTTTTAATTTTAGCATAAATCAAATCCCTAATTTTAGCATAAATAACAACAAACCAAAATCCCTAATTTTAATATAAATCACCACCAATTAAGATTCATAATTTTAGCATATCAAAATCTCTTATTTTAACATAAATAATAACAAGTCAAAAAATTTTACAAATCAAAACTTAACAAATAATTATAAATTAATACTCATAATTTTTATTTAAAAGTAAAAAAAAATAAAGTTACTTGTAAACAATGAAGAAAAGATACCAAGGTTGTAGTGTGGTCCCAAATTTGTGCTGTGTGATCCTAATTTGGTGAATCACGAGTCGATAAATTGCAAAGCAACAAAAGGAGACAAATAAGACAGAGAAAATACGAAGATACTTCACAAGTACTGTGAATAAATAAAAAAATAAAGAAGTTCATACACTTTTAAGGTTTTAGAGTTTTAACCATACTGTAATTGGAGTTATGTGCACTCACCTAAAAAAAAGTTGTATCAGTATTTAATTGCGATTGGAATTGGGATTCCAAAAATAATAATAATAATAAAATAAAATAAAATATACAAACGATGTGTCGTGCGTGTGGCGTGTGTGTGTGTTAGTGGGTTAGTGGGTTTGAAATTGTATATTAGGAGGAGGGGCACAAGGCAGACCACACTTAAAAAAGAAGAAAAAAAAATTCAAAAGTCACGGGGGGCACGTGACCCCCCTGAGCCCAATGTCTCCTTGCCCCTGTGTGTGTCTATGTCTGTGTGTTTGTGTCATACTACATTGTAACTTTTGAGTTTATGTAATGTTTTTGTGTGTTATTGCGTAATGGTGTGTTTGGTTGGGGGATTTGGGGAGGGATTTGGAAAGGGAAAGGGAAAAGGTGTGTGAAACTATGTGAAATATAGGCATGATTTATTCACATTTCACCTACCTTTTCCATTTCCTTTTCCAAATCCCTCTCCAAATCCCCGACCAAACACAACATAAATGTATGAGTTTGTAATATAGGTCGCAATCATATGCGAGTGTTTTAGCACTGGTTATGTAATCTTTATGTCTTGCTTTAATATGAAAATTTAATAAAGAAGCATCAAGTACTTTACTATGTAAAAATTGGTCTAGTTATTTGTTTGGGCATTTGTATTGTATGTAATGTGTGACAAGGTTGATATAATAATCTCAATATCTTTCTCTACAAACAATACTAGAAACTTAGAAAAAAATATTCAGAAAAGTACATTTATAAAAAAAAAATTAAAAAAAAAAGTATCTATACACAACTTTAAATTTATATCCTCTGCAAAAGTAAAATTTGAAACATGAAATTGGTATTTTCCTTGTTGTATTAACTGTTGAGGATCATAGCTCAAGCAGCTTAGGCTGCAGAAGCAGCAGCTCCAATTGCAGCTCAAAGCTCAACTACAGAAGCAGCTTAGACTGTAGCTCACAGCTTAACTTAGCTGAGTCATCAGCTAAGATATTTCATAGAGTCAATTAGGAGTTACTTACAGTGTTTGTTAGATTAGTTACAGTGTTTGTTAGGTTCATTATATATAAGTATGATAGATGTATTTAGTATAATTCATTGAGAATGAAGTATGATTTGATTACATAAGTCTTTATTGTATCAGAGCTTTTAGGTCTAACAAGAAACTAAATCATGGCATCACCATTATCATCTTCCTCGTTTCCTTCGAGTTTAAGTGTGCTGATTTCCAACTTGTCATCCTTTGTGATAGTCAAGCTGGATGGATCAAACTTCATCATCTGGCAGACACAGCTCTCTAATATTCTTCGAGCAACCAATCTTCTTGGTTATGTTGATGGCTCAATCACATGTCCATTGTCTACAATCATTGATTCAATAGGCGGTGCAGTTCATAATCCAGAACTTCTTCAATGGACCATGATTGATGCACACTTGCTAAGTTGCATCACTGCAACTCTTACACCTGTGATCTACTCTTCTGTTCTTCAATTTCATCATTGTTCTGAGGTTTGGACTTCTTTGCAGAAGCGATTTACAACTTTGTCTAGATCACATGTGCATCAATTGAAGAATAAACTGAATATTGTTGTCAAGAAGTCAGATACAATGGAAGAATATCTATCAAAGATCAAGGTCATAGTCAGTCAGTTAGCTCTGACTTCTATTATCATTGATGATGAAGATCTAGTCTTAATTACTTTGAATGGTCTTCCGTCTAAGTATGATGCATTTTCTACTACAATTCGTACTCGACCAAGTGTTATTACCATGGATGGTCTCTTCTCTTTGTTATGTTCTGAGGCTTTTCATTTAGATTCCAAGCATAAGAAATCTACAGAACCAATTGTAGCCTTTTCTACAGTTAAAGGATCTGAAAACTTATGAACTCAGAATTTTGGTTTGACTTAAAGTTGATTTGATTCTAGAGGAGGAAGAGGTGGACGCAATTACAAAGGTAATCAAGGATCTTATAAAGGTTATGGTGGTAGATTTGGTTCATCTCGAAGTAAAGGCAGATTGTCCAACAATCAGGTTCTGTTTTGTCAAATTTGTGGAGGCTCAAATCATTTAGCCTTAGAGTGTTGGTATCGCATGGATTCCCAGTTTCAACCTCAACACAATCATCTCAATCACCAACAACAACCGAGATCCTTTGTTACTACTTTATCTGCTTCTATGTCTCCTTCATCTTTTTTTACTCCAAGTCCTTAGTACTTGGATTCTACAACAACAGATCACATGACCAATGATCTTAGTCATCTCAGTTGTTATCAGCCCTATTAAGGATCCAATCAGATTACTATAGGAGATGGTAATTCTATTCCTATTCAAAATACTGGTAAAGTTCTTCTTTACACTCCTCATCTTCTTTTTAAGCTTAATAATGTTCTTCATACATATTCTTTATCTTCTAACCTTGTCTCTGTTCGGAAACTGGCTCAAAATAGTAATTGCATTATCAGTTTAGATGGCACTCACTTTGTGATTCAGAACAAGCTTACGAAGAAAGTTTTTTACATAGGCCCCGTTTGTTTTCAGAGGTAGAATGAAGGGGATTGACAGTAAGGAGATTGTTAGTGAAGGGATTAAGTAAAATTGTGCTTATTTTGATGATAGTTGTTAGTGTAGGGATTGTTAAATTATTTTTATATAAAATAAATATAAAATAACAAAAAAAATACAAAAACATTAAACATTAATGTTTTAAAAAAAATGCCCAATATTTAAAAAAATTTAAAAAAATAAAAATAAAATAAAATAATTTCAAGAAAAAATAAAATAAATAAAATAATGATTTTTACTTAACAAAAAATACAAAAAAATTAAACATTAATGTTCAAAAAAAATGCACGACATGTAAAAAATAAAATAAAAAATTTCTAGTCTGCCGGACTATTTTTCTAATACCAAGTCCTGGAGTCCCATCCGAACCTCATCTGCAAGGCCTATCCTAAGGCCTTCGGCTTAGAAGTCCCTTCCTTAACACTGTAAACAAACAGTACATTAAATAGGGCCCACAGCTATCCTAATCCTAATCCCCCTCTCGTACCCCAAAACAAACGGGGCCATAGGATCTAATCTTCATGGCTTGTATCATTTCTTTTCATCCACTGCATCACCTGTTGCTCATACTCCTTCTACAGCAGCTCCCACCAATTTTGCTACTCAAGTGCAGTTTGGTCCTTCTTCTCCTTCTAGTATTATATAGCATAATAGGCTAGGCCATCCTAGTGTTTTGAAATTCAAGCACCTTAGGCCACATTTACATCTTAAAAAAAACTTTTGCTCCTGTCAATCTTCAAGATTGTGTTGATTGCTGTGTTGCAAAGTGTCATAGATTACCTTTTTATTTGTCTAATTCCACTGTCAATGAACCTCTTATTTTAATACACAGTGATGTTTGGGGCCCCTTTGCCTCCACTTCTGGTTACAAATATTATATTCTCTTTGTGGATGATTTTAGCAGATTCACCTGGTTATATCCATTGGCTTACAAAAGTGAAGTGTATGATAAGTTTATTGCATTCAAAGCTTATGCAGAGAAACAATTTTCTACCTTACTTGAGATTCTTAGAACAGATGGTGGCACAAAATTTTTTAATAATAAAATGAAGACATTCACTGTGTCTCAAGGAATTGATCATCAACACTCATGTCCATATACACCATCTCAGAATGGTGTAGTTGAATGAAAACATAAACATCTCACTAAAGTTGCCATTGCTTTACTCAATCACTCTTTTGTTCCTATGCATTACTGGTTTGGTGTCATTACTTGTGCTACTTATCTCATGAATAGATTACCTTCTTCTAAATTGGCTTACAAAACACCTTTTGAAACCTTATTTTATCACATCCCAGATTTTTCTATTCTCAAGGTGTTTGGGTGTCAATGTTTTCTTGGATCAAGCCATACATCTCTATTAATTACAACCTAAATTAGTTAAGTATGTTTTCTTAGGCTATCATTCTTTTGCCAAGGGATATAGGTGTCTTGACCCCAAAACTGGTACTATTTATCTCTCCAGGCATGTGTTGTTTAATAAGCAAGTGTTTTCTTTTTCTCACTTGTCTTCTTCTTCTTCTTCTCAATTGCCTTTTCTTCAGTCTTTCTTCTGGTCTTCTCAATCTTCTTCTCCACCATTAGTCTCTTCCTCTTCATTA